AATACCATTACAATTAAAAAATCCATCGAACTCTCTGTTAACATACTCTCCTCCATTGTCTGTTTGAAGATATTTAATTTTTCTTCCTGTAAAATTTTCTACTTTGTTCTTGTACTTTTTGAAAAAAATACTAATGCATCACTTTTCTTCTTCAAAAAGTAAACTTCAACCCATCTTGACCTATCATCAATAAAAGTAATGAAATATTGAGATTTTCCATGTGACTCACTTTTCATTGGTCCACAGATGTCAGAGTGAATAATGTCCAGCACTTCAGATGTTCTTTCACTTTTAGGAAAGGGTCTTTTTGTAAATGTTCCTTGAATACACACCTCGCATTGTGGAAAAAGCTCTTTTGTGTTCACTTTAATACCTTAAACCATATTTAAATTGATTATTCTTTTCAAGTCTCCAAAGTTCAAGTCTCCAAAATGTTGGTGTCAAGACAATAGACTTGATTTTTCACAGCTTATATTCATTTCTTCACTACTCTCTTGTACGTAATAAAGTCCATTTAACCTATTCGCATGGATCTTTGTCTGTCCATTCTGATCTAATATCAAAGCAGCATCTTTTTTAAACAAAACTTGATACCCATGGTCAGTAGTTTTAGCTACAGACATCAGGTTTGTTCGAAGTTCTGGTACATACAAAGTGTCATACAAATTAACGCTTAGATTTGTACTCCCATTTAAAATGTTCATATTAACTGTTCCAACCCCTCTTGCATCAGTTGATGAATTGTTGGCAAGAGATATACTTCTTCCATTTGCAGGCTTGTACTTGGTAAATTTACTGTTCACATGAGTCATATGTGAAGTGCATCCACTGTCCAAACACCAGTGTATATCTTTCATTGACAAGTTTCCAAAATAACAGTCATCTTGTACAGAAGAATTAAGTCCTACTTCTTCTAGTTTAGAAATCGCTACGTTTTGTTGATCTTTATTTGCTTTGGGACAAAATTTTGCTCTATGCCCGATCGCTTTACATATAAAGCATCGAAACGGAAAATCAACTGATTCCGTTCTATTTCTATAAGAGTCTTTTGAAAATCTTCCTGGTTGAAATCTAACTTTGTTCTGAAATTTTCCTAGCAGAGCTTCACTACTCTCTTTCTTACCATGTTCTTTTCTCGCTTCCCACTCTTCTACAATTTTTATTTTTAAAGTTTCAGGAGAAGGAAGTGCATCTCTAGTTTCAATAGCAATTCTAAAGTTTTCAAATTCATCTGACAGGGAATACAAAAGAATAATTGTCAAAATATCCTCATTAATATCGATTTCCATTCCTTTTAATTTGTCCACTACATCAAAAAACATATTCATGTAATCTCTGACATCATAATCAGGTGTCAGTTTTGCCAAAATTGGCTTCTTTAACAAAAAGGCTTTCCTTGCTGGTCCACTGGAATCATAAATGCCTTTTAATTTTTCCCAAATCTCTGTTGAAGTGTTACATCCTTTCACTTGCTTTAATTCGCTTGGGCTGATAGAGGGGATTATATCTGCCTTTGCCTTTGCATCAGTGATTAGCCAAGAAGTCATTCTTTCACCTTCTTCTAGAGGCCTTTTAATGGTTCCTAACACATAGCCAAGTAAATCATTTTTAACTAAAATTGCTTCCATCTGCATTTTCCATGTGTCATAATTATTTCTGTTCAAAAGTTCAATGTGATTACTAATATTTCTTTCCATATTCCTCACTTAATTAAGTCTCATAATCTGTTAAAATTGAATCAACTATTCTTTAACCCTCCAAGTGTCCATAGTTTAGGCCTTAATGTCCACCTATTTTTGGCGCATTTGCAAGGTTTTATTAAAACGGATCTGAGAAGCTTAAAACGATGTTAATTCTAATGTTCTATATACCATTTTGTTTGGAAAATCATGGGCTTCAATATTATATATAAAACATAAGGAACATTTTTTCAAAAAAAAAAATTTTTAGGTAAAAAAAATATAATTTCAAAAATTTTAAAAAAAAAAATAAGATCGCGCTCAATGAAATTGTATAAATTATAGGCCTATAAATATTTGAAAATAGCCACTTTGTTCTAAATTTTATGAGGATTACAAATATATAATAATATAAGGAAGTATATTTGCAAATAAATAAGTTATGGGCAAAAAACTGATTTCAGTACATAGCGTTTAGTTAAGAATGCATAGCCTAACCATAGCTAGGAATCTGGCTGATAATTTACATCAATATCACTACCTACTTCTTCAGGATCATCAACCAGCACTTCAAAACCACTTAAATCTTCTTATAATGCACCACGTATATCACTACTTTTGATTTTTAACACTAAAACAATGATAAACGTAATAAAACACATCAGTCATCGGTCTGGGGGAACCTAGCTGTTTACAAATACACGCACGTCAGCTGTCTGCTACAATATTTTCGGAACTAAAATGAATAGCGCTTAGAGACAGACCTCTGCAGAAAGCTTAGAATATTACGGAAAGAACGATACCTAACTCGATCCAGTTCAATCCGATTCAGTCAGTTATAGAGCCTTCGCCGTAAACGATGTCTGCTTGTCGAAAAATCGGCAAGTAACACTATACAAAGTGTGGTGCTTGCCGAATTTTCGTCAAGTAACACTGGGAGGGCTAATAACACTCACACAATAATAACTTTTATTTTCTTTTATATCATAACAAAACTAGATATATAACATATGATTTTATAAAACAGGTAATAAGTAAATTGGATGATGTTGTAACTCCAACATAACGTAAATAATAAAACATTAGAATGTTTTGTAAGCTACTGCTCATCATAGACAGATAGACTACCGGTAGGTGCTGTATAACAACATAGGAATTCTTAGACAAGTCATAAAAAGTGTAAAATTATATTTAGATTTAGAGATAATAAAAACACTCTTTACAAAGAATGTAACGAGAACAATCTTGTTATTCTTTTTCTTTGTTCTTCTGTTCTTTCTTAGGTTTCTCTTCAATTCATAAACAAATTCAACAAGTCGTCATATTTACTCATTGCCCAATCACAGCCTACTTAAGTCACCATGGTTACAAATCACTCAATCACAGTTTACTAAGCATTATATCGTCATCATTCCCCAGCTGTTGTACCTGAAATCTGTTGTAACATATAAAGCGCACAGCAGACAGAAGTGTAAAACGGAGCAGACGATTGTTGGCGCAATCGTGCAAGTCATTTTTCCATTTTCACCAAAGGAGCTGTGATGTTTCCAAACGATTATGTGGGAGACGGGGTAGATATATCAAGAGAAAGACACTGACTGACGGCTCGTTAAGCAGAGGTTACGAACCCTGTGTAGATAAAAATGGCAATAAAAATGTAGGTACTTAAATTGAGTTGACTTATAAATCTCTAATTTTATTTATATAGAAAGATTAATTTCCCAGTCCTGTAAAACACTGATTCACAGTCATTTTCCCGGTAATCAAAATTCAAGTACAACTTGATACACACAGAATCTCTGGTTCCCGACCTGGATGATGGCTAGTTATTTAATTGAATTTACAGTTACATATTAGTACCTGTGATAAATCAAACCCGTTATGTAAGCCACACGGTTATTAATCTCACTTGGTTTTGGATTTGCTTAAAGCCCCGTTTACACGACCCGATCCCGACCACCCTTTCCCGTTTCTGGTCCCGACCGCCCTGTCATCTGGTCGACAGAGAGTTGTCACGACCCGTTCTCTGCACCCGATCTGAGCTCAGTGCGTTGCTTTCCTTCGTTGGAGAACGTCATCATTTTAGATTTCAAAAAGTTGTTGGTTTCTTGCATCTTTATTAAAATACAAAGCTTGAGATGTGTTCCACAACAGTTTGTAAGATTTGTACACGTCGATAATTTTTTGTCAAAACGTCTTTTTCCTTCTGTGGAGTAGATTTCGTCATCTCAAAACCACGAACAAAACTTAAAAGAAAACTCAGGCACTCATATCAAGGTTGGCCTGAGAGATTTGCCTGGTGTAGAGCTTTGGAATTCACATTTGTTCCCAGCAGAAGTGAGCTATCCCCACCCTTCCTCCCTAAATCCAATAGAAATCCTTCCCGACCTCCCTACCCGATCGCCAACAAAATCATGACCAGGGGCACGCGTTTACACGATCCGCGTTTACACGTTTACAAACTTGATCGGAAATGGTTAGGGCCTGCACAGAATTTGTAAATAATATTTATGTAAACATGTCAATGACAGTTAGAAAAAGGAAGCTTTATCCAAACAGCTGTTTGTAATTTAATATATGACGTATTCTCTTAACAGATGATTAGTATTTCATAAATGACGTATGTAGTAAACATGGAGAAAAAAAAACTTGAAAAAATCACACAAAATTGGGTTTTTGATCGTCCGTTATTTTATTTCCAAAATAGTGAGGCCATATTTTAATGGCTAAGGACACTCTCGCTAATCCTGTCAGTACAATCATAGATAAAACATACCACTTTAGTAGATTTGTCATCCTTATGAAACATCTGAAGCAATTTTATAACTATATAATCATAAACTATAACTGGTCTCCTAGTTATATAACCAAATAATAAAGCACAAATCATGAAAATAACCCTAAAATAATAGAAACAAAATTTCGTCCACTCCAGCGATCAGTGTGGACTTACATGAACTAGACAGGAAAACAAGCTTAAATATTTACAATGGGATGAGGAGTCTACTTGGTGTTGCTTAGTCTATGATACAATCAAACTATTAAGAGTCATAATCGGTACTCTAATTTTCTTAAGAGTAGGCTGCGTAAATTGCCTCCTGGATTAACTAGGTTTGAGTTTTTAAAATCTAAAAAAATCTATAAATCTTCTTTTAGTTTTACAAATAATGCTGGGCGGGGGAATAATGTTTCACATTTGTTGTGTACCTCATTTATGGTGGGGAGGGGCTGGTGCTCAATTGGGGAGGGTTGCATCATGAGTCTAGGGGGGATGGGCACCCCTGGATATGTTAAAACTAACACATACAAGGTAGGTATTACCTTTGGGACTTTTGTAAATGAAAAAGTGATTTCAAGGCATGGACAACATGAGTAGTATTCATAATGGCAAGATGCCGGTTGACAGAGTTGAGGACATCGATGCTGTTTTTAGCTGCTTTAATATTTTGAAGTAGAATATCTTGGGACCCAGGAGGGGGTGCTGATACTGGGACTTGAATATCTGAAACCAAAAATAGTTTAATTTAATAGTAGGCCTAATTGCTGTTTTCTAGTTTTTATATTGTTAAATGAAGTTTGTTAACAATGGATTGTGGATAAAACAATAAATATAGTGAGTGACTTCAGTTTGTGTTTTAAAACATCTATGATGTTTGTGAATATGAATACAGAATAAAATTGTATAACTTAGGTACTTAATTAATGAGGTTATTTTTTTAATCGCAACGGTAACAAGTTCTTAAAAATACAAGTTTGTTGTAAGTTTCTTTCTGCGGGAAATTCATTTCAGCATTTAAGTACATGTTGTAGGCTAAGTAATTTGTATGATGTAGGCTAATTTGTGTAATTCAATAACTGGAATATCACTATTTACAAGGAAATTTTATTCATATTACGGATTATTTTATCAACATTCCAAACTTCCACTCGCTATGGTAAGGGGGTAGGTCTACACCAATTTATCTTGATCCAACTGGAACCACAATACAATTAATAGAGCACCTTTTAATCGACCCTAATGGGACCGGACCTAAGTCGTATAACTCAAAAGGTCGGTTAAAACGGGCAATCCCATTATTTTGAAGTCGCAATTGCTTTATTATTTATAAAATAAATAATATCTATAATATTAAAATGAAACAGTGTTTTTTTATTTCACGATTCTGAATCAACCACTCGACGGATTTTCATGATTTTTGTGTTGAAAGAAAGATAATTTTGAGAACTAGGGAATGTCGAAGCCATAATTTTAGTTTAGGGTCCCAGTTTTTTAGAAATTAAGTTTTAATTTTTAAAAAGTCTAGCAGCCGACGCTAAGATTCTAAACTAGCTTTTGGCATAAAATAATTTGCTTAACATAACAGCTGTAAACATTCAGCTTTTGTGTCCAAATTCAGCATTGGATAAAAATGTAAAGACATACTTAGGGTTGACTTATTTATACTATGTGTAATGCTAATCATTGATACGTTCAATTCTTCTGTAAGAGGATGACAGATTAATTAAATATACATAGTAAAATACTAGGATGTTCAAATAATTTTTTAAAGCAATCTTTGTAATCTTCCATTTGTTTTTGAGCAATATAGTTTTAACTAACAGCCCTGGTTAAATATAAACTATGGAACTATGAGGTTATTTTATTTACTCTTATTTTGTCATTGATTATAGGAAATAAGTAAGATTAGTAGAGATAATTAGACCACAGTTTAAAATAGTTTAGACCAAAATTAATTAAACCACAGTACAAATCGAGGCTCTGTACACGAGTCTTAATAAAAGAGGATAAATGCAAATTATTTTACTGCTCCACTTTTCAAGGAAAGATTAGAAAAATTACAATGTTTACATGTTTTAATTCTTCATGGTAGCTTTTTGTTTACAATTAATGTTTGTCTGCTTTAACTTTGTTTGGATTAGGCCCGGAAATATTGATGTCATAAAAGATCAAGAATAATCAGGAATCACGATTTTAAATTGCCACCACAACCTCAGCCGGGTTTTATACAAAGATGGATAACATAGACTGAACACAACGTCAACATTGACCTAGGATACTGCAATTAGACAAACCATCCTTTTATGAAATCGTGTTCAGTTGTGGTTACGTTTGGGGGTCCTATATCAGCGCCCTCCAACGTGAAAATATCACTTTTATTTCAACTATGAATATATTGTAGGTAGTTTAAATTAACTAATATGGGAAATTACGATGTACATTTATTCAATGAGGGTGGGTAATTATCAAGGATAGAACGATAGAACTGATAACGGTATGGATACAGGATACACATTGACAATTACGTCATTAGCTTTTCTAGCGTGTTTACTTTTTATATTCCTGCTACATGTGACCAGTTCTTTTTTCAAATGAATGTTATTTGAACCAAACAGCTGTTTCAAAACAAACTGTTATTGTTTTTACTTTTGAATTTTCTTTCTTTACACTTATTTATTTAGCAATTAATGCAGTGAAATTGATATAAAGGATAGGTGTGACGATTAGTTTTGATGTTAGGACACCAAAGTTAAATTATGTGTACTGTGAATTTTATTGGATATTATCGTTTTATTTTAGGTCGTTTCTATTCAGACCTACTGGAAATCGTGTATAGTAGTTGTATTGTGGTGATAATTATTATGGAAGAGGCAGGTATTCTATGGAAGGTGGTATCGTTGACTAGGTCTATACACTTCCCAATTGACTATTAATTACTCTCTCTACTGTAGGCTACTTATAATCAGTGTGCGTCTGTGCGAATCGGCTGCAAATCTCACTTCAGTGCTTTTTACATCGTAATAATTGCAGAATTGCTGTTTTATTGTAAAATTATCGCATCTAAAATGCATATCGTATAGGCCTATGATGGAATAAAAACATATTTGGTCACACAACATTTGTTTACAAGATGATTTTTCTCATTAAATCTGCAAGAAACTTTGTCTTTATATGTGTAAACTAGCTGATCTGAATTTTGCACGGTTTTAACTGACTACTGAATTCCCGTACGAAGGACGGGCTAACACCTCGTAATATATAAAATATAAAAATAAATAATTCAGTAGAATAACCCTAGTGAAAAAAACAATAGAAAATCATTAGACATTTAAATGATATTTAAATGACATTAAATGATACATATTGTATTGATATCATTAGATACTTAGTGATGTCAATAGATGTCTAATGATATCAAGTGGTATCATTAGAGAATCTAGTGACATTAATCACTAGACATAAGTGAACTTGAAGTGATGTCTAGTGATATCTGTTCGTCTAGTGACTTTAGTATTGATATCATTAGGAGGCGGTTCACGAGTACGGGGTTTCGTGGCCCGCGGTTATCGTTGATCTCGACCAATAATAACCGACGGTCAAAAAATGGGTTCACGACATAGAGCGTTAGCCGAGATCAAGCTTAGCCGAGACCAACGCTGGCCGTCGCTCAAGAGCAGGGATTAACTGGGAATTTTCGTTGGGAGGTTGGCAACAGCCACCTGCCGGGCCGCTGCTCGCGGTCGACGAGCCCCAAAACAATAGGATGACGTTGCATCATAATGATTGGTTCACAAATTATTATAATTAAACGGTGTATTTACTGATATCGTATAAAAGGTTGTGGACTTGCACTTGAATTCATTTTATACTAAGGTTATACAATTTATCATTGAATTATGAATAATACACGTTTACTAAATACATTGAATCGGGAAAATGCAATTATGTTTTAAAAAAAGTGTATACAAATTTTAGTAATGTTTGCAATCAAATTCGATTACCGGTACCAATTATGTTAAAAAATAAGACATACTTCATCAGGTTTGCAGTTGTATCCAAACGTTCAAATTATTTAATAAAATGACTGCTCTTTTCAAACATTTATGAATATCCTTTATGTATCAGTAATTTGTATAAAAAATAAATTTGGAGCAACAACTGGCTATTATTAGGAGCCGAGATGCCTTCAAACGTAAACAGTAATAAACATAAATATAAAATGGCAAACCTACAATAACATTTTATGACACCAAGATCTTTTAAATCGGTTCACAATTGGGGCTACAAACAGCAGGCCTAAGAACTAAACCTTTAAGAACATTTGCGCGCGCCAGACGGGTAGAGCGCAGCCCTAGCACGAGAAAACAGGTTATAATTTAACGTTTTATTATGTTTTAATACAACGTTTTGTATATTTAACTATAGAATTTATCTTTTACCTCATCAAATTGAAGCAATTTATTGTAAATCCCGATATGACAAATATTAAGACATTATCAGATGAAAAGGTCTTTCTTTAACACATCTTAAATCATAAACATAATAATATTGTTAAAAGTCAAAAATGGAAAGAGAAAATATACTCAATTCTGGGCAGAAAATAATTTAATTATTCACAAAAGAAAAGTTACTCAATCATAGTAAAATGCTACCAAACAACAATTTCTGTAATCACAACATAACAATTCATCCCAAAAATCATATGTGTTAAAATTATTAAAGTTCATATTTTCATAGCAGCTGGAAAAAGACAAAATATAATATAAACCATAGATTATTTAAATGAAATGTTTGAATACTATATCCAACATTCTCCCACCTTTTGACTTTCAAAGTCAAAATATTAATTATCGCTTCAGGTATCTTCGTGTTGGTCTAATTTTTCTTCCTCTTTGTGTATAAAAAGGTTGATCATGTTCACGTTCAACACCTTCAGCCCCTTGCTTGTCTTCTAGCTTTTAACACAGTATCGCTTGCATATGACACATTTGTCAATAACTGATTTTACAGTTCTTCTTCCACTAATAATCCAAACTTCTTCTCTGAGAATAGATAACAATCCTTGGACTCCAACATGTGAATTTTCTTCATGTTTGTATTGTATGTATCTGTGAACAACGGGATGGTTACTCGGCAATACGATTGGAAGATTAAAATTTCTACTATCAGGTATCTCTGTGATTTTTGTTTTTAACCTTAATAAGCCATCACTGTCTTCAAACGGACACAATGAACTCAATTTTTCATCCTTGATACTATGGAAAGCGTCTTTCTGAATAAGTTTAAATACTTTATTTTGTGCCTTAATCAATTCATCAACCGATAATTCTCCTGATATCTTTTGTTTCGACATATTTGTGTTAGAACAAAATCTCAAAATCCAGCCTACCAACCTGACGATTTTATCAAATCTGGAGAAATATATGTAATACCAACAATCTGGTTCAGGTTTTGAATTCATAATAATCTTTTTAGTTGATTTGATCTTCCTAAGTTCAGAATTTACTTCTTTCTCATCACAATCATCACTGAAGTTTTGGTTAGGCCACAAGTTTGATGAGTTTCTTAGCCATTGTGGTCCCTCCCACCATTTCGACTCCACTAGCTGCTTAGGAGAACATCCACGTGACGGCAAATCAGCCGGATTCATATGGCCTGGAACATAATTCCAAGATTCAATGTTACTAAGGGATCTTATTTCCTTTACTCCGTTCCAAACAAACACTCCCCAGTAATCTTCTCGACGAATCCATGACAAAACGGTGGTTGAGTCGGTCCAATAAAATGTTTTGACATTTTCAAATCCCATACTCTTTAAGACATTGTCAGTTAGACGAGCGCCAATGGTAGCCGCCAACAACTCCAGTCGAGGAATAGTCATCTTCTTGACAGGTGTAACTCTACTCTTCGCTTGAACTAATTGAACTGTGACAAGTCCATTAGATTCACCCCTCAGGAAAACCGCGGCCGCATAAGCGTCCTGGCTTGCATCACAAAAACAGTGAACTGTCCAAGAAATATTCCCTTCGATTTCATTTCCAAAATATCTTGGAATTTTCAAATTTTAAAAAATCTCAAGTTGCTTTGCCCAATCTAAAAACAAATGTTTTATCTCTTCTGAAACCTTGTCATCCCATCCAATTTCACTTTCCCTTGTTTTCTGCATCAATATCTTAGGCATGAGTGTAGCAGGACAAGTTATACCTATGGGGTCAAACAACTTGTGAGCAAAAGACAAAATAGATCTCTTTGTGACTATTTCAGTTTCTCTAAACGCAAAGTTTTCAAAATTCAACTCAATCATGTCAGTATTTTTGTTCCAATTTAAACCTAAGATAGGTGTCAAGGTAGAATCATTTTTGAAACTCTGAATTTCTGTGTACTCCCAACTCCGAAGACAGAATCTAGCATCTTTCATTACAGAAGTCGCTTGATCTACAAATTGATTCAAATCTGAAAAGTCATCAAAACTTGCCATACAGTTATCTACATAGAAACTTCTCGACAGTGTCTCTACTACTTTTCTTGAGTAGTTTAACGATCCTGAATCTATCAAGTCTAATGTTTTTTCTAAATGAAGTTTGATTACTGCACTTAGCATAAATGGGCTACAAGTAACTCCAAAGACCACTCTAGCGTGTCTGTAAACAACCAATTGACCCTCTTCATTAATCCACAAAAAACGAAGAAAATCTCTATCGTCCCTATGTACACCAATCTGCAGAAAAGCCTTCTCGATGTCAGCAACAACTCCATATCTGTGTAGTCTAAAACGATTTAATATGGACGGAATCAATTCAATTAGGTTGTCACCTTTTTCTAGACAATCGTTCAACGAGGGCTGATTCTTTTCTTTAGCAGATGCATCAAATACAGGTCTCAATTTCGTGGTAAGACTGTTTTCTTTTATCACATGTCGATGTGGTAGGTAGTGACCAATTTCCAAATCAGCATTGTTAACCTTCTCTATGATACCTAATTCCTCCCAGTCAGACAACACCTGTTGATATGAACTAAGATATCCACTAGAAATAAGTTTATTCGTAAGATTACCGAGTCTCTTCTGTGCTACTTTCAAATTAGTAGGTAACGGCGGGTGATCTTCAACCCATGGCAATTTGACCTGATATCTGCCATCATTGAAACAGATTCTACAAAATGTTCCATTGTTCTACTTTTAACTGAAGATTCACTCTTTACCTCCACTGGATCCTTGATTCCTAAAATATCCAAACTCCACAAATCTGAAATGGATTTATTATCAATAGGGGATAGTAAAGAAGTTACTGCCATAGAACTGGACCTGCTATTCCCTTCAACAGTGGCTCTTCCCGTTAAAGTCCACCCCAACAAAGTGTGCATCGCAACTAACCCGTTGGAAAGCAGATATCATTTCTCAGTGTAAAGTTTCCCGGCAACGTCTGCACCTATCAGAACTTCAATAGGCCCGTCTCCATCTGTTACATTAATTCCCAGTGTTCCAAGCTCTATGGACCAAGGACCAGGCTTAACTGCTGTAACATCGTTACAAATTACATCTTGATCAAGAACGGCAAAATTGCAGGCATAACTGTTATTTAAGTCACTTAGTCTAACCTTATAACACGCATGTTCAATTGTTTCAGTACTAGTGCCACCAAATAAAGCATGAGCTAGCTTCTCCTTTCTGACTATGTCGTAGCCAAATTTGGATACTTAAATAACATGACCTATGTTTTATATGAATTTTATGGAGGAACAAAAATTGTACTAATTTTAAACAATACAAATTCTTAGACAAACCTAACAGTGTTTGATGGAACCATTTTTATTTTGATATTATTCAGCTGAAATAAAAGGATTCAAAATTGCTAAAATAAATATAAAACATTTATGCAATAAGATTCGATTGCAATTTAAATTTATATGAATATGTTAAGCTATTAGTTATATTTTTACTTAGTAATAATTAATTAAAATGTCTCAACAGTTACTTTTTACGATGTTTTGCATGTTTTCGGCAATCAGTAGTAAACAAATTAAAAAAATAAATATCATGTTGAGGGTAATGAAATTGTTCGGAATTTAATGGCGAATCCGAATATAACATTCTTTTTGCTAACAAAAAAACAATAAATGAGCAAATGAGATAATCCCGACATGATGTCACCTTAACCCTGCCCCCTAGCAGGGTTAAGTTGAAGTCCAAAACCATTGTTATTTACGCCCGAGATTATCCAGTTTGCGCTAGACCATGACTCGTGAACCCGACATTTGGCCCGGGGTTTTCTCTAATTGAACCCGTGAAGCCGACTTTTTGCGCTCGGGTTTATCCCTGTCATATTTGGGTTAAGTTTAACTGTCTGCGCCCGAGCGCGGGTAACCTTGTACTCGTGAACCCGATTTCTAAGCCGCGGCGCAAAAAACCGGCTATAACTGGATTTTGCGCTCGAACTAAGGATAACCCGTGACTCGTGAACCGCCTCTAGGTGATTCAATGATATCATTTGGTTACTTAATGATACAATTAAGGGCGTAACAAATCGGTGTCTAGTGATCATCAGCTACTTAATTTTGCCAAACATAAAAAAAAATTGTTTTACTGAAAGATTTACCTAAAATAAAATGAACTCAGTTAGTTTTTATTTATTTATGAGCTAGGAAAAAAGTAAGATTACTATGAAAATTCAATATTTTCTTTGGATTTTTTCAATAATACTGGTCCTGTAAGTTTTTATTTATATATATTTTTTAAATATTTAACTTTTAAAATTGAAAAGTAATCTCTGCTTGGAAATTGTAATATAACATCATAATTTTAGACTGGGAGGCAGTGTTGGTTGTAGCGTTGTAGCATGTGTTTTTCTGAATGTAGGCTATACTACACATTTCAAGAAGGGGACATATGCATTTTAAAGTTGAGTTTATTTTAAAAGTAAAACTCTAAGGGTTGGAAAATAATTTATTATTACTAGTAAATACAAATACAACGTAAATTTATTTTATTTTAAGAGTAATATAACACTAAAAATATGTTAAGTCTCTAACTTGGACTTAACTTGGCACGCTACATGCGCACAAACTGGAGACAGACAGACCGTCAGACGACAACATTCAAATTCAACTGTCAACGTCTGGCGATGGACTGGACACAAATCCACAATCCAGAGGATCCAAGGCAACCGTGGTCCGTGGTAGCCGTCCTCGGCGAGTTTATTTATTTCGGTATTTATTTGCAAATGGATTCACAATTTTTAGAGGGAAATTGCAATGATCTATGTGTGACAACTACCTAGTTCGTTCTAGTTGAGTACGTTAGTGAAACAACGATGGAAGCTACATAAACATCCAAGACTACAGTACACAAGAAAGATAACCTCAAATATTACAGTTCTTTGTCAGTTTCAATTATGAGTTGTTATTTCGTGACTGAGTATTGATATAGCCTACATCTTTTCACGTTTTAATCCTTAGAGCATGTAAGTATAAAAGTGATTATAAGTTAGTATTTTAGGACATTAGGCCTTGGCCTAGACTTAGCAAATAATTAAATACAAGAAACCTCAAAACAGGTTTTAAAAGGATAGGCCTAGTTTACAGTTTTTAGTTATGTACACCTGACCAAATGTATAGGCCTAATGTTGTATACAATCTACAATTAGGCTAAAACTTAACTTGGGTAGACTTCCGTATCTGTTGGCACAAACAACCGAATAATTAGTTAAGTTTTGAGACTTTACCTTTTGTGCGTACATTTTCAACTTTACAGGTGTATATTTGCTGAACATTTGTTATGGCCTTAAAGTGTCCTAGAGGCAATCTGGAGAGTCTCCTCATACGTCTGGTTACAGGTTTGACCACAACAAACATATTTCTCCTGAAATAACAAAAAAACTAACAATTAAGCAAGCTTATGCAATGTAGTAAATTGACAGTTTAATGCACTAACCTACTCACTTTCATCAGAAGAAATATGCATATTTAGGGGAAAAGCTATAAATAATTATAAATACCCCCGCCGCAGCAAACCTGCAGACTAAGCGAATTTCCATTTGCCTGATTGGATTTACACTAAAATGTCTCCTTAAAAATATCACAGATATTTCCCATTTAAAAAGAACTAGTTGTTTCCAGTTAATATTAACTTTTTTCAATATCATTAAATAACCTTTTAACTTATCACTACGAAAAATACCCCCGCCGCAGCAAACCTGCAGACTAAGCAAATTTCCATTAGCCTGATAGGAATTACACTAAAATGCCTCCTTTAAAATATCATATTTATTCCTTATTTAAATAGAATTAGTTTAACTAGTTTTTAGGTTTGCTGCAACAGGGAGGGTAAAAAGGTGGTTTTTTTTAAGTTAATAGTTTAGTAAGAAATTAATGTATTTTCCAAATTCGATCAAAATATGTTCATAAACAAGCAAACTACAACAGTTGACTTATTCTCCAAGTATAATCCTCCAAGTATAACATGGGGATTTTAAATTTACAGTTTTTTGAAATTTTCTCCGTAACCATTAGGCGCACAATAATGCTTCAATATACTAAATTATTTGTTTTTTTATGCTTTACAAAATGGTATGAAAATAAATTGTAAAATTTTGTGTTTTCAGGGTCAAAAATGGGAAAACCCTATTTTTACCCCATAAAACCCCCCATAAACCCCCGTTCCTATAGTCCGATCATGCTGGTTCGCGAACTCGTTCGAATAAATGTAGGTTTACACGTTTGTACCAAATTTCATCAAAATCGGATCATTTTTGCTCGAGTTATCGTGCTAACGGACACATATATATGAATTTGAACGGATGGTGTTTTTGGCCTCTAGGGACCTCAAAACGAAAAAATAAATCGGCCCCGGGTCCAGGTCTTACCATGAGTACTACGGTAATAGCTTATTCCCTATATGGGAAATTCGCTAAAAGGAAAAACTTTTAAGAGCTTAACTTTTAATTAACAATAAATAAAAATGTTAAGCTCAATACTGTTTTAATAAAGGTTCTAACAGAGTAGGCTTAGAATACTGACTGAGACCAGTAAAAATGTTCATCTTACTTTTTAAATGTTAAATAAGAAACTCTTCCATACTATGTTTCTTGTAAACACTCTAACGTCTTTAGCCAGATTACCTTAGTTTTGTTCTTTAACCATTATTTTTAGATCATCAAAAGCGCGGCATCTGGACATTGCTAAGTACAATGCCCCACGCTGAAAGCAGGGCTCTGGCAGATAAAGACCAACTTTTTTAAGTGTCTGTCCTTGACTTTTTGTAATGTTCATGGCAAAAGCAATTCGACATTGGAACTGTCGACGTTTTAATTGGAAAATTTCCTTGTGGTGGTTCTAAACTTAATTGGGGCAGTAACACTCGTTTTCCAGCCCAACTTCCAGAAATAATTTCAAGATTTAGGACTTTGTCATTCATCTCTTTCACCATTAATCTGGTTCCATTAACCAGTCCTTTTTGTGGATTTAAGTTTCGTAGTAAAATTACAAATTTTAAGGCATAACTTGTGAGGAGGTAAACCACTTGGTGCTAAAGTAAAATAAATTCATCAGGTACATGCAACTGGTCTCCCTCTTCTTGAATCAAAGTGTCCACTGAGTAGTATACTCGACTGTCATCATTTAGTTGCTCAACTTTTTTATTATTCATTTCGTCACAATGTTCATTCTTATGGTGAAAGTATTGCATGATTTTTTGTCTTTTTTAAAGCATCTTCAGAGAATCCTTCACAGAAGATTTTGTCAATGATATTTTCATTCACAATACATTGTGGTGGAAGACGTATCAATGACTCACCAAGATCATTATGGTAGCTCTCTTGGCCAATCCCTATTCCTAAAAGATATTCAGCAAATATTGATTCACTTGGATTGGCTTTCATGTTTTAGCAAGTGAAATCTTTTTAAACATTGGCCATAAAGCTGATCTTATTATTGAATTTTCTACTATTGTACAGCGACTCGCACCAGGGACTATGGGAGTGCATTGCCGGAAATCACCTCCCAAAACAATCACCTTTCCACCAAAAGGCTTTTCTTGGTCTTCTCTTCTGGCAATATCTTGCATTAATTTTTCTACAGACGATAAAGCATACTTATTAGACATGCCATAATATTACTTTACAATTCCTGATATATTTAGCTTCGTTACTGTTGGCTTTTATTCCGGAGACTGAAGACTCATTTAATTGTATGCTGAGCAAAACGATGCTGAGCAATTCTTACATTGTTACATTTTGTCTTGTAGTGGTTTGATTTGTAACAGGAAGAGATTTGTACCAGCCATGTTCACCGCTTGGAAACAGGAGTGGGTACACACACGGGTCAATATGTTGGCTTGTGATTGGCAAAGACTGGAGAGCATTTGGGTTGTTTATGTCTCCACTTCCTCTTTTGTAAACTTGAACACTGCGATTGCTCAGTGGTGCACCATCGTTGTCTGCAACAAAGGAGGGACTTTTTCAAAAATGTAAGCCAGTTTGCAAATCTACGCGACACGCTCTTTCCAATGAGACGTCAATGGATAAAATCGGTTAAGAAATGGTGGAGGAGTTCAACTAACAAAGTTTCATGTAGCGTATTAATTATATAAATAGAAGATAGATCCTCTCCCACAATTCCCCACTCTATTGCAGAAGAGGTTTACATCGGCTTCTGACCAGGCGCCTTAGACACGCTAGTCTCGGCGCGCAGTGTCACATTTGATGTTGACCCTACTCGGACAGTTGATATTTCGATATTTTTTTTTAATAATTTAAAAACTCGGACAAATGAAAACTTGGACAGTTGATTTAACCAAATATTATTATTATTTAAACCATACTCGGACAGTTAAAAACTAGGACACCTGATATTTCGATATTTTTTAAAATAATTTAATAAATTCGGACAAATGAAAACTCGGACAACTGATTTTTCAAATATTTTGTAATTTTTTACAAACTCGGACAGTTGAAAACTCGGACCTGAAACTCGGAGCTGAACCTCACCCATTCACTCTAGCTTCAACTGTAGAGTCCTTCAATACAGATGTATTATGTGTTGTTGCTATTAGTGCAGCTGATGTACTAGACGTCTTCTGTTTTACTTTAAAATTTTGAGTTGGATTTCTTTTACAGACTCTCGCATAACGTCCTGTCTTGTTACATTTCCCACAAGTTGCTTCTCTGGCTGGACAGCGATCTTTAGAGTGTCTGTCATATCCACAAAAATAACACTTGCCATCAACATTTTTAATGGCAGACACAGAGTCGCTTCTTCCTTTTGTTGTAGTTGGAATTCGTACTGACAAGCTTGCTTTGCCAATACATTTGTTGCACAAGTTTGCATTCCGTACATAGATTTTGGATAGCTCTCGACTTGAGCTTGAGCCATTTCAAGAGCTCTAGACTGTTTCACTGCTTCAGCTAGGTCTAAAGTTTAATTTTCAAATAGTCTCTGACATATGTATGGCGAGGCTAAGCCATTGATAAAAGCGTCACGAATGTAGTGATCCCTGTATTGAATCGCATTAACAGCTTCAAAACCGCAATCTTGGCTCAAAAGCAGGGCCTGATTACCCATTAGGCTAATTAGGCTGGAGCCTAGGGCGCCAGTCAGCCAAGTGTTTTAGGGGGGCGCCAGACAGCCAAGACTTAAAGTTGGGACTGGGGGCGTAAAAAATGTTTTATTCCAAAAAAGGAATCGCGCAGATAGGGAAGGAGGTGGGGAAGGGTGCGTTCGGCAGATTTTCATAATCATTATATCCAAATATAAAGCCCAAAGTCATGAACTTTTGAGAAAACTACAAGTCACACCCCCATAAACCATATACTTAAAATATTTGTAATGATGAGAAACCTTGCGCAAAACTATCCATTATTTCATAAATTGCCCTTTAAGGTCGTAATACCTTTCTAAAGGGAACTTTCCATATACCTAATGTTAAAAATACCTCAGCTGTACTTATTTGTTTATTTCAGCTTAACTTATCCAATCAATAGTTTTATTAATACTTATGAAGTCAAACGGGGTTACAGCTAGTTTATAGTAATAATTGATTTGTAAAAACATTTAACGATACTTTTTGTTGCAGATAAATACAGATAAATGTTGTAAACTAAGTAATTCCATCTAAAGGTCCTAATAAAATTGGTTTAGGCCTAGGTGATTAACAGAGTTAATTTAGAAAGTATGCATATTATTGTTTGTTTTTTTTTATATTTTAGGTTAGGTCTACTTTTGATTTAATACAATCATATATTTAATAAAATTTAAAATAAATACATTATTTTAAATAAAAATTCCTTGAACAACTGATTTTTTACTATTTTAAAAGTTCCTAATCAAACCATGCATTAATTATTTATGATCAGTTTTCTTTTGTTTTTAAAAACTGAATATTAGTATAATGCCTTTGGCCATTTTTAATTTTGAATTCAGTATTAGTATTCGTTCTTAGAAATTTTGAAAGTGGTAGCGGAGAGGAGGGGTAGTGGAAGGGAGGAGGGGGTGCGAAAAACGTCAGCCTACTGGCGACTAGACCCTTAATCAGGCCCTGCTCAAAAGTTTCAGTTCCGACACATATTTGTCAATAGTCTCACCTTGTTGCTGTTTTCTAGTCATTACTAAATATCTTGAGAATATTTCATTCTTTTGTTTAAGATGTAAATTGAGTTAAGAACTATCAAAGCGTCTTGGCAAGTTTCAGATTCCTTGATAAATCTATAAGTCGTAAAAGATAATCGATTAGTTAGTAGTTTCAGGTCTTCAACGAATTCTGTCATGGTTAGAAAATCTTTGAATGTTTGTAACCAGTGCGTCCATTCCTCTGAGGCAGTTGGAGATTCCGGGTCAATTTTCAATTTGTCTGGTCTAAGGAATTTCTCCATTGTAATGTAGCACTAACTGAGTTTATCAATGAATGAATAAAATTGTTGTAAGAAAGACTTAGTAACTTAAACCAAAAGTATGGCTTTTATTCATTCAAAATTACAACCATGTTTTAGTTAAGAACAAATACAATATTTAAAAACAAATGAAATAATAAATATTATCAGGTGATAATGTTCACAAAGTCTGTGTAACTGGTCGACTAGGCTAAGTGTAATGTGAACAGAATGTCTGCGTAGATGAGCACCGTGGGTACAGGGTTAATCCTCTTTACAATATATATATAATCTTATGTTTTTATTTCAGATTAACTTACTCATACTGTGATCATGGCCTTAGAGCTGAAAAACATAGGTAATCAGTTTAAATAAAAATGAATTTCAGAGTACTCTGATTTTTATTATTTCACTTATATATAAATATATGAATTTGAACGGATCGTGTTTATGGCCTCTAGGCACCTCAAAACGAAAAAGTAAATCGGCCCCCGGTCCAGGTCTTACCATTAGTACTAAGGTAGGCTAATAGCTTAAATTCCCTACATGCAAATTCACTAAAAAGACACTTTTTGACTAATAAAATAAATGGGATACAGAAAATATTAATCTCATGAGATTTAAGTCTAGTTGGTATCTGTTGAGATACAAATTATTTACTCAGTCCTGTAACAGCTGTAGGCCCTACATAAAAATTCTGATTATTGTAATGTTTGTTTGTTTAAGTTGTTGTGTAAACAAACTAATACTTTTAATACTTGAATACTTTTCAATGAAATGGCGACCATAACAGTGGCAGCGATAAGAGCCCGCGTGCCCCCCCCAAGTTTGTTCGCCGGTCCCCCCTCAACCAATAATCTGTAAAAACATTATCATCGCATGTATTACCGCCTAAACTTGCACTTTAGCTTTGCATGGCATCTCCCGAGGCACCGAGGCATCATCGTCGTCTGCCAAGATCGCGGCAAAACCGCGAATACAACCCGTAGTCATGGGAGAAAGATTAGCCTATCATAGTCTACCGTGATTGCAACCAAACCTATGACATCATCAGATAACAACATCATCGTCTCCCGCATTCACGGCCCAATGCCTAATACCTCCCGCGACCCGTGGTGACAGTGAAATAATTTTTTCCGCAATCGCGGCAAAATCCTAGACATATTCCCCGCAGAAAAAGAAGCGTCATTAACTTGTTGTCTTCCGCAATCACGGCAAAATATTGAACGCAAAGCCGAGACATCGTCATCATCACCTACGGAGAAAAGAACTTGTCGATATCCGCGATCGTGGTAATAGCGTAGGCTTAATCTTTCAATTTCGTGAGCGTGATCCTCGTGGACATAAAAGCTTTTACTTTAAATTGGGCATTATTGTATTTAGTAGGTACTGAGGAAAACGACTCAAGCTTGATTTTCTGACTTTGTGCTTGATCTCTAACTTAAAGCTTGTAGACCAGGCTCTGCTCGGCTTGAAAATCGACATTACATAAAAATTAACAGTTTCCAAAGCAACCAGATTTTGAACCGATCCCATTTGGCCCGAGGGCCATAGGTAAGTCAAATATTTTACCTGACTCGAAGTAAAAAAATTTGTTGCAGCCTTCTAATAGTATGAAATTAAATTAAATGAAAATCCTTCTTTAGCATAAATGAAAGAATTGAATTAGGTATTTATTAGCTAAAGTGCTCTACTAGCCACCTAAGTAAATTCGCCAATTTGATTGTAAAAAAATGTTTAGGTTCATTTAGTTGAATCAGGATATAGGGCCCTCTCTGGTGTGACCCGCCGGGGCCTAGGGGGATTAACATTAATGTTTTATCCTGTTAAGCCGAGAGCCACATTGGTTCTAAATAAGGCCCTATTATAGCGTCCACGAGGAAAGTTGATGAATGAAACCTCCGCCTGATGACAATTCTTTTACTTAGATTGGTAGGGATTTATTTTGATCGGTCAAGTAAGTTAATAGTGTCAGTTTAGCTGTTGTATGTGCTCGTTAGAGTTGTAAACTACTTGTCCTACTGCTCTAACAGGTTTTAGACTAGGCCCTAAATTTCATTTTTATAAATAAGTTAAGTCACTGAATTGCTCGGTAGGCCTAAGACTTATTTAACCGAATCAGGATAAAATAACTGAATTAGTCTTTAGGCCTATGTTATCAACCGATTGATTCAGCTATTTTCACTCGGCAATTCCCACCACTTAGGCCTAAGTTTGTCTAATCTATGCTACTAAAGTTACAATTCTTATTCTTAAGAGCCTACTAGAAAGCACAGTAATAATCACACATAGTTTACAGTATGTAGGCCTAACCCTTTTGCTGCCACGGTTCGATATATCGGACAGTGGCGCTATTGCGAAAACCGCCACGGTCCGATATATCGGACGTCTGCTAAATGTTTGTTTACTGGCCAGCTGATCGTCCAAATGTGACATAACCTATGAGACATTTGTCATGAGTCGGGCTACATGTAGAAACAGCTATTGCTTTACTTTGAGTTTCGTGTTTTGTACAATTTTGTTGGAAAAAGTAGCATTGCATCATCTGTGTTTGTATACATAAGAGTGCTTGCTGTTTTAGGCTATTTAAATTTGTTTGGTAACTATGGATTAAGTTATGAAGTAATTGAGCGGAGCGAGCGAAGCTCTTATACGTCGACTCTAATGCATTTCGTAATACGCAAACTCCTCCTAGACGGCTGAATCAATCGTTTTCAAATTTTGCATGGTGATAAAGACCATATCGGTGAGTGCCAACATCTATATGGCGTTAAAAAAGTCTCTCTGGAATCCGCCCCACTGGGTCTCAAAGTTTCAATGTAATCCTTATGGAAGCAGTATTTGACACATAAACAAAGTCATATGATCAGCTGTTTTTGAATGCAGTAAATAAAGAAATAGCTGATAGCATTATTCCACAGATATTAGAACAGAAACGGTATGGATCATAAATATAATCAAATGACGACACTAGCTTGAGGTCCTTGACGTAGGAAGTGGTGAAGGAAGTAGTAAAGGTTAGCAGTCTGGAGTGTGGAAACTGTTTATGACGATTAGATTAAGGTATATGCATTCCTAAAATTCTATGGGAAGGGATGAAAACAGGTCCACGACGTAGGAAGTGGTGAAGGAAGTAGTCAACGCAAGCTGTCCGGAGTGTGGGAACGGTTTATGACGCTTAGATTGAGGCATCTGCAATCCTAAAATGCTATTGGAAGGGAAGGAAACATGTCCGCGACGTAGAAAGTAGTAAAGGCAAGCAGTTCGGACTGTGGAAACTGTTTGTGACGATTAGATTAAGGTATCTGCAATCCTAAAATGCTATGGGAAGGGATGGAAACAGGTCCGCGACGTAGGAAGTAGTGAAGGTAGTAGTAAAGGCGAGCTGTTCGGGGCGTGGGATGTGTTTATGACCGTTAGATTAAGGTATCTGCAATTCTATGATGCTATGGGAAGGGAGGAAAACAGGTCCGCGATGTAGGAAGTCGTGAAGGAAGTAGTCAAGGCGAGCTGTCCGGAGTGTGAAACCTGTTTATGAAGATTAGATTAAGACATCTGCAATCCTAAAATGCTATGGAAAGGAAGGGAAACAGGTCCGTGACGTAGGAAGTGGTGAAGGAAGTAGTGAAGGCAAGCAGTTCGGACTGTGGGAACGGTTCATGACGATTAGATTGAGGCATCTGCAATCCTAAAATGCTATTGGAAGGGAAGAAAACAGGTCCGTGACGTGGGAAGTGGTGAAGGAAGTAGTCAAGGCGAGCTGTTCGGGGCGTGGGATCTGTTTATTACCATTAGATTAAGGTATTTGCAATCCTAATATGCTATGGGGAGGGAGGGAAAAAGGTCCGTGACGTAGGAAGTGGTGAAGGAAGTAGTAAAGGCAAGCAGTTAAGACTGTGGGAACTATTTGTGACGATTAGATTATGGTATCTGCAATCCTTAAATGATATGGGAAGCGAGGGAAACAGGTCCGCGACGTAGGAAGTGGTGAAGAAAGTAGTCAAAGCAAGCTGTCCGGAGTGTGGGAACTGTTTATGATGATTATATTAAGGTATCTACAATCCTAAAAAGCTATGGAAAAGGAGGAAAACCGGTCCGTGACGTAGAAGGTAGTAAAGGAAGTAGTAAAGGCGAGCAGTCCGGAGTATGGGAACTTTTTATGACGATTAGATTAAGGTACATGCAATCCTAAAATTCTATGGGAAGGGAGGGAAACAGGTCCGTGACGTAGGAAGTGGTGTAGGAAGTAGTAAAGGCGAGCAGTCCGGAGTGTGGGAACTGTTTATGACGGGTATATTAAGAGATCTGCAATCCTAAAATGCTATGGGAAGGGAGGAAAACAGGTCCGAGACGTAGGACGTGGTGAAGGAAGTAGTCGAGGTGAGCCTTCTGGAGTATGGGAACTGTTTATGACGATTAGGTATCTACTATCGTCTGTGGCAGTTAGATTAATGTATCTTCAATCCCAAAATGCTATGATAAGGCAAGGAAATAGGCCTCACGACGGAGGACGTGGTGAAGGAAGTATTAAAGGCTGGCATTGCAGAGTGGGGGAACCGTGTGGGCAGTTAGATAAATGTATCTGTAATCTTAATTGTTATGAGAAGGGAAGGAAACAGGTCCATGACGTAGGAAATTGTGAAGCAATTAGTAAGGCTAGCAGGGCAGACTGTGGAAACTGTCTTTGGCCATTACATTAATGTATCTGCAATCCTAAAATGCAATGGGAAGAGAGGGAAACAGGTCCACGACGTAGGGGGTGGTGAAGGAAGTAGTAAAGGTGAGCAATGTTGAGTGTGGGAATTTATTAATGTATCTGCAATACTAAAATGCTATGGGAAGAGACTGTAGACTGTGTAGGTTATAATGATTAAGAAGCACGAATCGATACATATTTTAGATACATGCAATCTTTTACAATCGAACTTTATAACTGAGTTGACAACAACTGATTTTTACTCCATAGAGGCTAAAAACGATTTTTACTCCCTAAAGAATAAAAATGCTACTGTAGACCCGCAACGCATGCATCAAAAACTACTGTTTTACTGCAGTATGATAAAAAACAATATAATATGAACCCTCGATGACTCCGCTCAATTTTGTGGATGCCTCTGCGAACGCCACCTAGTTTATTTGAAAGTCAATAATTAGGACTATGTGATAAGAGTAGGCCTATGTGCTTAAGCCAACCTAGACTTCTTCAAAAAAGCACCACTGTGTGCTGAATTTTTGAGGTGTGACTTTCAAATTTGGCCAGTTAACTAACTAGGGTTGCTTTCAGAGAGGTGAAAGCCAGTTGAGCGGAACAAACGTGATTTGATATTTGTATAAGTAACTAAATGTAAAAAAAGTCAATAGATGTATTATGTTAGTTTTGCTATGGTCAAAGATCCAAATCCTAATGTTCTTTTCATTTGGTTTTTATGTAGTAATTTGCTAGAATCTTAACTTTATATAAAGTCAATGCTAGAATACAGTATATGGTTTATACTTGATTAAGATCATATACAAAGTTAAGACCATATGCAAACATTTTTGAAATCTTTTCCCCGTTTAACCAACTATTCCAAAAGATAAAAATTATATGGTGCAACACAAATAAACAACTTGATCACCTACCTACCCCCCTAATCTAACCTTACTTCAAAACACTTAATGTAGTCACGAATACTCATAAACCCCGACCTACCTTCCCCACATGCCTAAATTAGATCAGTGTTCAATCTGCGTTTTATTAATAAGTGTAATAACTTACTGTACCGTCGATCATAATATAACCTGTGATGTATTATCAGATTGTTAAATATCGATTTCGATGCGGTTCGATATATCACTTATTAAATCCTGATTTCTAACATTGGCTGTTTCTAATCAGCTGGCAACACAAATAGGTTCCCAAGAAAGTAGTCACTGGTCCGTATCCCTCCGCTCCTTGTTTATACTCCGCGCATTGAGAAAGTAGTTCCGTATATTTTCTTGATTTTCAGTGAATTCCACGCCTTAAACAAATGTTTTAACGGCATTTTCTTGTTTATTAAAATCATAGGAATGGTTTAAAAACGTTTAAAAGAAAAGTCTAAAAAGTTCAGAAATACCTTATGATTCTCTTGTTTACATTTTTCTTGTAAACAAAAAACTGTCATATGGCTACTTTAGTCCCATAAGCCTAATGTTAAAATTTGGAAATTTTAAGTTCGTTTTAAATTGCATTAGCATTATCTAATTGAAATTTGTTTGTTTATTAACCATCTCACTATTAGTCTAAGTAATCTTGTTAAGTTTAGCTGAAATGTGTTCTGCCGTTATTGAGTGATGTTGCTTTATTTGTTGCATTGAAGTTGATCCCAAAGAGCTACGCTCAACAAATATGTAGAAAACATATCTATCACTTAGGCTACTTATAAGAAATATTTTTTTCTGGTGTAGGCCTAGTTGCTGGCTTATGAATTTAATTTTTATGTAATTTTTTTTTTATTACAAAACATGTTTTTAATATGTCTTTCATAATAGGCTATATCAATATAATTTCATTTAATTTCATATGTACGGAAATAAATAACCAAATCTAACCAAATAAATTGTAGGTAATTATTTGATATATCAACAATGCGATAGTGTGTAATTTTTAGATGTCTACTTACAGTATTTTTCACGCTGAATCCAAAAATGCAATAAGTTTTTGTCGGCGAGATTCCTAAGTGGCCATACAGTTAAATAATTAATATTAAGCTTCAATTTTGTTGATTTATTAACATATTTGTGGTATGGACGAGTCCAAGTTCTAGTGGCGACTAACACTAAAAGGGGTGGAAGGTTTGTGGAGTGGAAACAGCTGTCAATTGTTTACATTTGATACTAAACAGACAAAACCACACACGACGCCATGAGAGCAAAATCAGAGTTACAATATGCAATAAATAGATGTTTAAAAGAAAATAGACTTTGGTGCTGTTTAGAAAATACAATAAATAAACTAAACCACAATAAATAAACCATACATAAACTATTAATCACATGAACATAAATTATAAAACAAAATAGAATTTATTCACGTAAAACATCAGTAATAGAAGCTAGGCCACTGCCGACATGATCATCGTCCTCATTCCAATCCTCAACGTCTGTTAATGAACGTGCCATAGTGCATAATCCCATAGTACATAATCCCATTGTGACTAAAAGTGAAAAGGTGCCACAGTGCATAATGTCATGTATATCAGCAAATAATAAATGATGTTACATAATATAATCTAATCTAATCTAACCTAACCCAACCCAACCTTAATATTAATGTTTAAATCGCATTTTATGTCAGAAAAGGCATGTGAGGAAGATAGGTCGGACTTTATACGGATTAGTGACTGTATTAAGTCCTTTGAAGTGAGGTTAGATTAGGTAAGTTAAAGGTTAGGTTATAATGAACCGACTCATGCTTGCGCATTTTTGATATCGTTATTTCATTGTGTTTCACCCACTAGGTCTATTTAATTGTGCAAAAACAGTCTGGCTAATCTAACCTCACTTCAAAACACTTAATACAGTCACGAATCCGCATAAAACCCGACCTACCTTCCTCACATGCCTAAATAAGAACTGATTATTTGGTTTCAAACGAATTGATTTCATTCCGCATTAATTCTAGCATAAACAGATGTTTGCTCTCCTACTCACTCAGTCCACAGTCCACATAGCCTACCGACCCATCCAGACCACGCCATATTACCATCAGGATAGCTCAATGAACCATAGATTCGTTATTTTAACCTTCGTTTTACGGCCACTTATGAATCTCTCCGACAAAAACTGATTGCATTTTTGAATTCAGCGTGAAAAATACTGTAACTTATGTAGACATCTAAAAGTTACACGATATCGCATTGTTGATGTATCAAATATTTGCCAAATAATTGTATATGAATTAATGACAATTTTATAACTAATCGAACGAAAAAAGAATTATTGTTCTATGCCTTAAGAAACCAGTGATAGAGCTTGTTAATCAAAACATTGCGCTTGACCAAAAATTGGCCTTGGCGGTTTTGGCATGCGACTACTTAAAAATTGTGGCGGCGAAAGGGGTACAGTTTCTTAACTGGGCTATGCTAATATCGATTGAAACTATCAATTCAATTAGTAAACCTTCATGCGATTGTTTCACCATCAGCAAGTTTGGTTGGTTAGGTTAGATTATGATAGTTTAATTTTATAATAGCCTAGATATATTTTAAAATATTGATTATTAATCAATATTTTCAATTCGATAGTTCAAATCTATATTAGCATAGCCCATTTAAGAAACTGTACCCACTTATTGATTAATAATCGATAAGTTATTTTTAAATATATCTATTAGGCTATAAAATTAGGGGGTGCAGTTTCTTAACTGGAATATGCTAATATCGATTGAAAATATCGAATTAAAAATATTGATTAATAGGCTAATCGATATTTTAAAATATATTTATTATCAAATTTAACTATCATAACCTAACCTAACCAACCAAACTTGCTGATGGTGAAAAAATTGCACGAAGGTTTACTAATTGAATCGCTAGTTTCAATCGATATTAGCATAGCCCAGTTAAGAAACTGTACCCCAATAAGTTAGGCTAGGCTACCTATTTCCAATTCGATAGTTTCAATCGATATTAGCATAGCCAGTTAAGAAACTGTACCCAGCAAAAGGGCTAATCACAAATTTACCAACCGAATCAACATCAACAAAGAAAATTGTTGGTTGGTCTTTTAAGTTAAACTAGCCTAGGCCCTACAGCATTCTTAAAATGTGTTACCACAAGCATAGGCCTATAAGTTAACTCACCCTTTCAAAAAGCTTAAGCAACTTCATAAAAGAGCTTTTATATAATTTTAAAACTGAAATAGGCTTATGAATTAATCATGGGTGTCGGCATTCAGCAGTTTTCTTATACACGAAAAATATCGACCTTGCTAACAAAAAATTTACATTAGGCCTAAGTTAAGCTATCAAAAATCAATTTATCATATCATCAACATAACCTAAATAAAATGTTGTCCATTCTGATTCTGCATTCTGCATTCTGCTGAAGTCTGACTCTGAACTGAACCTTTGACTATTAGATTGAACTGAGAAAGAAAACTGAAAATTCTTCTTCTCACAATGTCAATTCAATTCTGAATTTTTCTTATAAATATCTCGGCATGACGATTGACAAAAGATTAACATGAAAAACCACATCTGGAACAAAAGAATCTATATATTAATTTGGAGTCATACCTAGGTCCACCGCGGTCAATCTCCCCCGCGCTAGTTTCCGCAAGGTCTGCGGCCGGCGGAGCATGAGACCAACAATCCCTCCCACTTGCCTCTGAGTCGCACAGTTTGGTTTGGCCGACCTAACCAAACGGTGCGGCGGACAACTGGAGACTACTTCACTCGTAACTACGCCTGCAAAATGTAGGATACTTTACCAAAACACTGCTGTATTGCGGGCTGACTAATGAGACCGTTTTCTGTAAAGTAGTAATTGTACAAATTACCGTACACTTGCTTGGCTACGAAAAATAATTATTCAATTATCATATCTATTCCACGATTGTTAATGGTTTTGAAATCCATACACCACTTTACTCACAAATATTAATGGTACAGATTAAGCACATAACATTAGAATAATAATTCACTTTAAACACAAATGCAAATTGTTAACGACAACATTTAATTAAAGACAAATCAATCAAATAACAATGAGCCGTTTAATTATTAACACAAAAGGTTTCGTATGATTAGATTATGCATACTGATAAACCACCTATGGCCATCTATAATATTTGGGTTTTCTTTTCCGAGTCGGGTTAGCTCTTCTACTCGACCGATTTTCATAATTTTGGCCTCAAACTAAAGGTATGGACGCACTACAGTTTTGCAATCAAGAATCGGCATTCATTTTTATTTACGTATATTTCGAGTTATGCACAAAATGTGTCCCTGTACATTTCTTATGGGAGTTAAATTAGTTTTTTTTAAGTTCGTTTGGCTCTTCTGCCCATCCCATTTTCTTAATTTTGGTCTTAAAATAAAGTTATGCAAGCAAATATTTGAGATCAAACATAATCATTAATTTTTCTAATGTATTACCCAACGAAAAATTTTAATTTTTTTTCACTTCAATTAAAGATGTATTTCAGCAGCTCTAACTAAATTACCCTATATGTTTTGGTTTAAAACCTTTAGTGAAATACCAGCTTTCATTTGAGCTATTAATTATTAAGATTCCGATCTTAATAATCGTACCTAAAGCACTGTTTTAATCAGTTAACTTCAAGATACTGTATCGCTCAATCAGAAAACATAAATTTGATTATATTTTGGATGTGGAATTTTAGTTTGTGATATTTTTACTCAATTCAAATTACGTTATTCTATTTGTTTTGACCTAAGAACCTTCAGTGAAATACCAGCTTCCATTTGATTTATTGAATATTAAGATCGGACGTACCTAAAGGACACAGCTATATCACGAACAACACAAATTGTTAAAAAAAAAATAGAGTTATTTATAATCGATTTATAGTCAAACGATCTTGCTTGCAACCTCAACAGCAAATGTCGACTTTGACGGGTTTCATCTAGTCAATCTTTAAAAAATCAAACTTTCATAATTATTTGCAAATCTACACAAATTAGTCTTACCAATGACCTATTAATTAATAAAATCGGTTCAGTAGAACTGTAGATTTAAGTGTACAAAGTTTAACAACAACATCTTTCATTCAGTATTTTCTCACCACTATAAATTGGGAGGTTGCTTAACGTTTTTGAAAATAGAGTAACTTTTAAATGGTGAGGAAATCGACCAAAGTGGACGGTGATATTCTTGATAGAGAATAAAATTTCCTACAAATTACTCTCATGAATGTATTTCCTGAAAATACTCAATAAAGACAGTCTAAAGTTGGCTACAAATATAAACTTGGAAAAAAGGCGTTTTAAATGTATTATTGTTTATTTACATTTTTTTCCTCAAAAAGTAATAAAATCACACTTTCATAACTATTTGCAAATCTACACGAATTAGGCTTTCCAACGATTAAATAACAAAATCGGTCCGGCAGGAATTTTAAATGTTATGATTTTTAAAAAGATTTGTTTTTCTAACAAAATATATGGATGAATTATAATTTAAAACATGCTATGTAAATTAATGGTATGTTTCGGGAATAAATAGTTTTATTTTAAAACGAGCTGTTGGCCCGTCCTACGTACGGGAATCGAGCAGTTCATTAAAATTGTATATAGTTATATCAATATGTCTATTCCTAATTCAAGCTTAGTTTAAGCAGTTCAAAGTTTATTGTAAAGAAAAAGCTACCAAGATTAATTAAAACTTCTGGTCGTTGTTACTTTCCCAACCTGTCCTCAAAAATTCGGGTGGTAAAACAATTTTTATAAGCTTTCTTTTGAAGTCTCGTGAGCTTCGATTCGTATAAAGCAATGGTTATAGAATCTAAATAAATTAGAACATCTATTATTTTAATTTTACTTTGTATATTTAAATTATCTCTCGTCCTCTAACCAAATAAATAAACGTATCAATTATTAAAGCATTATACATAGTATAGAAAGTCAACCCTACGTATGTCATTTCATTTTCATCCAAATGCTGAATTTGTGTCGAAAACGCTGATTGTTTACAGCTGTTACGTTAAGCAAATTGTATTATACCAAAACCTAGAGTAGAATGTTAGCGTCGGCTGCTGGACTTTTTAAAATTTTAAACTTAATTTAAAAAAACTGAAACCCTAAACTAAAATTGTGGCTTCGACATTCCCTAGTTCCCAAAATTGGCTTCTTTCAACGCAAAAATGATGAAAATCCGTCAAGTGGTTGATTCAGAATCGTGAAATAAACAAAAACCTGTTAAGTTTTAATATAAGATAACGTACACATTTTTGTAATATTCCTGGAATTAGTTTGGGTTTTTATTACTCGATACTTAAATTATATAAATAGCCAAAGGCAAGACAACGTCTGCCGGCTTCAGCTAGTTTTTTGATAATCCTATCTCCTCTCTGGCATTATTTAATTCGAAAATGATTACATTATATTATAAAGTGATTTCATACGTTGTAGGCCCACTTATTATGTCTTACAGTATACCCCTTCAATCACGGTTAAAAGATTAAATACACCTATAAATAGTTATTAAACTGTGAGTGAAAATAGAATGATAAGTATTTGTTATTTAATTAGAAGAAGATTTACCTAAAAATGGGGCCCATTGGCTTCCTTATGGGCAAGAATAAGTGACCCAATGTCCCCAGTGTCAATAAGCAAACTTTTTTTACTTAAAAGAAAACTGCTTTTCGTGGTGGGCCCTCCATAATAGTAGGCTATTTTTAGGACGCATTCATCCCTTAGCCACCTTCCTAAGATAAATAAATTATTACATATGAGATTATGAATTTCAAAATGGAAAAGAGTGTTTCTTCAGCGTGTAGATTCTTAATATAATAATAATACGACATATTATAATAACGAATAATATGACAGACTAGTGGAACCCCGTCGAAATCGACGGTTAATCTTGAGGTTTTATGTAAATTCAGCAAACTGTGTAGGATAGAGTGAAGTCATTAAAATCTTAGATATATGAAGGGAGGATAAGCAATAATAAGTATGACGATTGTGTTCCCTAAAAACGTGATTGATGAATTCGTTTAACACAATATTTCCTACCTTTCTTTTTATCGGCTTTAGGTTGCCCAAAAGGTTTTTTAGGAGTCTCATAATTGTTTGTTCATGAGTTTGTTTCAAACCAAAGCCACTTTCACTATATGGGAGAATGAGTTCATATAATTAGTCTATCATGTTACGGAAAGAGTCAATATTTATTACTAACCACTAATTCCAACTGCTTTAGGAAAATCATTCAGATTGTATCCGGATTTATAAGTAAATCTTCATATTTTTTTATAAAAATATCTGATGCTCCAGAAAGCAGTAACATTCTTACTTCGATCTCAGCAATTTTAAATCCTTCTCTTGCCACATCGACCCATGTATTTAATCATCCTGTTCTTACTTGATAATTCATTAACTTATGGGGTAGTTTTGCCTTGGCCATATAGATCACATAAAGCTGTGCATGTATTTCGTGGATTGGAATGAACCATAATTGTAGGAAATCTCATCACAAATCTTGAACATTTGCGGAACCAAATCCATAACCTAGTCCAGCATTGGTAACAAATTATGCAAATGCGATGAGATGTGATGACACTTTTATGTTTCCGAATGTTTTGTATGTAGTGAGGTTTAGATGCGTTGTTCAACCTAGCTACATGTGTACATCAAAGTAAAAACTGTGTACACATTTTTTTTTAAATACCTGAATTGACATTAATTCACCTTCTTTACCAAAACCATAGACTTCGTAGTTAGTCTATTCCAAAACTTGAACACAGCTCTCATCCTCAACGTACTCATCTATGACACAATTTTCAACCCGATTATCAAAAACTGTTATACCAATAAATGAATCTCAGGTGTTCTTTCTTGAATTTAAAAATAAATGGTGATTGAAAGTAGGAAAAAAAGGAAAGTGCCAACCTTACAATATGCACCCCCGATAAGGAATAGTTATATGTTCCTTTGAAATTGATAAGTCACACTTATTTCATAATTTAAAATTCTCTAAGAGCAATAAAGCATAGATTTTTGAACAAAACATTTCAAACGTATCATAAATTCATCATTTTGTTGAAACTATAAAAAACTTGCCATGCAGTGGAGAATCCATTTAAAATCATAAATAATAATGTGAACATTTAATTTTGACAGTTTCAGTAGACCTTTGAATACAATTTTAATATTAACAGCTGGTTCATAAAAGTAATGTAAAATTATCCATATGGTCGAAATGTAAACAATATTGCAGAGTGAACTTTAAAGGCCTCTGGGGCAGAGCCCCAAGGGAATTTACCTCTTTCCTCTTTTGATGGCTCATCTACAGACCAAGACCTTTCTTTAGAGACCCCTACCAAGTTTATACGCCCAGCCGTTCTCTCAAATTAGCTGTGACAAAAACCCCGT